CTTGCTGTCCATCATCAGTTCAGTGTATGATAGCCACTTCTATGAGGTAGGGCTTAGGAACCAACAGGAAAGTATATTCAGCAAGGTATGGCTAGGCGAAATTAAAATATTTATTACTCTGTGATTCTCACTGAACAAGTATCCACAGATATCTAGTGTTGAAAGGTTCACAACAAAATATTAATGACAGCGAGGGTGGATGCTAGCTACAGTGTGAACTGCTTTCTTTGCCTTAGTTTTAATATATTTTCTATGTCTCTTCTTAGGCTTTATGTATGAAAAGCATGCTAACAAGAACATTTTTGCTGCCCATATCTACCATTCAGCTTACAATTATAATTTCTGCAGTATGTTCCAAAACAAAAAGATTTTGATTGGTTGTACTGGCCTTCTCAGCAACCCCTGAAGAAATGGCTCCCGATTTCCAAGTGCAAGTGTCCAGAGACCAAAGCTTGCCTTATTTAATTTACTTGTACTCTGGCTAGTTTCCTTACCTACAGTACATACTAAGTGCCAATTTGTGGAAAATAATTGTATAGTGTATTCTTTACTTCAGGTTTTACCTCAGTACATGAAAATCTTGATAAAGCCTTCCATCCATGCTGAACATTTTACTGTTACTACAGAGATAATCTGTGCTCCAAAGTTCACAGCCTGGCTAACAGTGATAGCATATGACAATATGTAGAACAGGATTTTAACCAGTGTTACATGCAAAGCTGTTTTAAGACACTGGTTGGCCAAGAGCAGACATGGCGAAAATGATACTCCATTCTATCTATTCAATCCCTCTACACAAAAAAGTTTGGCAATACCAAATATAGACCCAGAGAGGGAAAAAGTTGGCAGCTTGGCACTGCACGTCCAAACATGCACCAGAAGAGCTGTATGTATATGCAACTGTGGTATAGTGATGGGAGGATTGTAACACAAACTTCAACACTAGACAACCATTAAAAACAATCCACACCTACTAAAACCTAGGTAATAGTAGATTTTCTCTGGCTAGAAACAGCCCAGTGGGTCCAAGGTGGCTGTTCATTTTACTTAAATGGTTAAAGCGGCATATGCTGCTGAAGCCTCCATGGTAGTGTTATACAGTAGGTTTTCCCAAGTCCCGTCAGTGCCATTGCTGGACAGCTTGACCCGCATATAAGTGTAGTTAGTCCTGCAAGAGCTTTTACCAGGAAAGGATTTTTAAGGAGAGGAGCCTGATGTTCCATTTTTCTCACAAAAGGTAACTTATTCACATTTTCCTTCACTCTTCCCTTTCTCTGAATCAAACTCTTAGTTATAGTGGAACTCTAAGCAAAGTAATATATTCTTATTTAGATAGAAAGGAGGGGGGGTTATCTGTCAGATTGTATTGATCTCTGTCTGTGTTCCAGTTGTGAAAATTTCCCCTCACTTCATGTCATGACATCCAGGGGGGATGGACAGAATGTCAGGGGAAGCCTTTACATTGGACACACACAGACATAAATAAAAACTAGTTGGTTTTCTAATGATGTACATAAACATTTCAACAAACCATTGATCACATATTCCATGATTTATAATGATCTTTTGCTTGAAAATGATTATTTGACACAACAAGAAAAGATTGATATGGTCAAATTCCATTAAGATTTTCATAAGAACAGATCATTTCCTTGCAATTAATTAATCAATTACAAGTCAAAATTATTTAGCAAACAGTATGTAACAAAGCGCCAGCGGCTTACGTCCAAACAAGGAGAAAATCTGCAGTGATCTTAGTATGCACCGTGAATGAGGCAGGCTCTCAAACAAGGCTTTAGGGAAACCTCAATTCTGGAAAAACAAAAACACAGCGCCTCCATCGCGTAAAAACATTTTAATAAAATAATTTAAACAGGAGGCGTGACCTCGTCAGGAGGCGTGACCTCGGAAACGTTAACCATCAGGGAGGAAGAGTAGCCGGTGGGCTAAGCCTTTCATGCTTTTACCGTTTCATGCCTTTTTAAACTTAATCCTTGTGAGTATGTTTTCATCTGTTTAAATTATTTTCTTAAAATGCTTTTACGTGATGGAGGCGCTCTCTGAGTTTTTGTTTTTCAAAATTATTTAGTTCAACTGCTTTCTTAAACAATTAGTTTGTTCTTGGATTTAAGGATAAAGCTGTCAATCACTGGGATCTGGAAAAGAGCATAACAGTGCAGGTATAAAACTTGCCAGGCCAGAGCTCTCCATAACAACTTACAAAGCCATCCACAACTCTGCCCCCGGCTATCTCTCAAACCTTGCCTCAAAGTATCACCCTAACCGTCCCCTCCGCTCTTCCAAAGACCTCCTGCTCTCCAGCTCCCTCATCAACTCCTACAATGCTCGCCTCCAGGACTTCTCTAGAGTCTCACCCATCCCCTGGAACTCTTTACCTCAACCTGTCTGTCTATCTCCCACTCTGATTGCCTCAAACTAGCCACTCAACAATCACGTTCTCAAACAATTCATCCCCACACAGCTACCTCCTCATGTATCACTTGTCCCTCCCTTTTAGGTTGTAAGCCCTCAGGGGCAGGGTCCCCCTTACTATCTTGTCTTGAATTGTATTCTGATTGTAATGTCTTCCTTATATTGTAAAGCGCTATATAAATCCTGTATAATAATAATAATAACCACAATAATTCACCGCTGTCATAGCTTTATCCTTAAATCAAAGAACAAAGTTATTTTGGCTAAGTTTGCCCAGGATCACCTGAAGAAACTATGCAAAATGTGTTGGGAATAACACCTGCCACAAGACACCATCGATCACACAAGAGTTTGATGCTCAGATATGTGTTCTATAATTGTAAAATTGTATTTTTCTAAATATGATGATTTTTGAATGTGGCAATGGAGGGCACTATATAAATGATAAGGGGAATGTATTGTGAAAGGGGCTACATATGTTTTTATGGCTATGATGTACGGTTTTAATATGTGGTCACAATACATGGAATTTTTAACAATTGTAAAGAATACGTGCCTTTTGTAAACCCCAAGGTCTTGTTCTGTGTGTAGTTGATGAAACAGGGGGGTGAGGCATGTGGATCACCCGGGTAATGACCTTTTGTGGTGTGATTGTTTGAGCAAAATAATCATAATATCTCACGATTGTAATAAGTGTATTGCCAGAGTATGGCATGGTAATGCCGTGGTGGCAGTAATCCATAGAGACCATACAAAATGATTAGAAATACCACAATATGGCCAACAAAATGAGGCTGAGGAGCACAGGAAAGAAGCATTTATTTCCTATGCACGTCAGCCATAATGCAGTATGTTCTATATATTACATATGGGGTCTTTATGGTGCATTTTGGTGCTTTTCCTTGCCCATTTTATAATGTTTTATGTCTGTAAAGAGCAGGCTGGAGCAGCAGCTGAGTTAAAGCGTGGCTGTTTCTGGAAACCTCCAAGCCACACCCAAGCCACACGCCCAAGCCATGCCCCCAGTTCCATAGAATTACCCCAAAGTGGCAAGCTGCGGGCATTACTTAGAGCCTCAATCAATATAACGGACCATACTTGCTCCCACATCCTACCCTCATCTGTTATTGCTGCTCTCTTAAATCCAGATCTCCTAGTGGCCTTTTCTACGTGTACTTTGATCCAGCACACTGCTTCTAGTAAGTTTTTGTCATCTGCCCATGCCACATGGATGGTGGTTCAGGCTACAGCTGCATTGTATGCTGATGCATTTTATCTATTTTCTCAGACAAAGTCCTTTAACTAATGGATCTAATGCTGGAAGTGAGGTTTTTCCAAATTATGTATACGGCGTTTAGCATGAAAACAAACTACAGGAAGAATTAAAGAGGGACACAAAAGAGTATTATCTAGTCAGTAATTGCTCCTATTTGCAGCAAGAGCAGCTTAAAGCTAAATATGTGGGGAAGCATTTGTCCAGATCTGTCTGGCCTATATAGACAGGCTGACAAGCCAAACTCTGTGGCTGAGACTGAGGCAGCTCTGTGCTAAGGAGAAACAGATGAAAAAAAAATCCAGGAGGCTAAAATACATTTGTGTTCATTGTTATGTCCTGGCCTGCAGCTGATTGGGCAGGTGGATATACATCTACAATACAAATAAGTAAACTAAACGTGAGGTTATAGTCCATCATGGGAGTGAGCTTGAAGCGGTGGCTACTTTACAACACACACAGGGACCATAGGGAACAAAAGCAGCCATCCTCCTGAAGGAAGGACAGTGTCAGCACCAATTCAGAGATAATTTGATGATCTACAGATGAATGATACACAAATACGATACATTTTTGTTAATAGGATACTTGAATGTATTTTTAACATTTAACTCCTGAAGATAATGGGGTTGATTTACTAACCTTATAAACATGCCACGAACAAGTGTACACCTCTGTAGTGTGTTCCCTCCCAGCATGATCTATTGGTGGAATCTAGACACCTTTGTAGTGTGTACACACCCAGCAGGTGTGTTGTGCAAAGCCCTGCATGAATTGCAAGGTGATGTTGTGTAAATTAGCTCTACATTGTGTTGCTTGCGTTGATGAATGCAGGAATGTAAATGCATGAGCTAACCATTTTTGTCTAAACTGTGAAGCAGCATTATATATGCATCATGTGCATGATTTTTCCATATATGACATTAGTGGAAATATGCTTTTAGAGACTTTTTGGTTGATAAATACGTTTTGCTGTGTAAAAATCACACGCACCTAGTGCGTGCGTGTGTTTAGGTTAGTAAATCACCCCCAATGTGCCACTTTAAGTTTACTTTATTCATATCAGTAAATCCTGAATGCTGATTGGTTGCTGCACAGTTATAAAAGTTTTAAAGAATATTTTTGTTTATTATTGACCTTCTGAAAATGTTAGGTCACTCCTGCATGTTCCTTTAATGCTTTTTTTCTAACACTTTCAACTAAGCCCTTTACTGACAAAATATGGTAGCTGATAGTCCGGGGGCCTGTGAAAGATAAGACCTTGCGTCATTTGGTTAACACCCATCACTCTCACTTTCCTCCCACATCTTGTTTGTGCTGAGCAAGTTAAAGCCATTTTATTATTCCTACAAAATATAAAAATGCCACCAAGATACTCTGCCAGTCTTCGAGGACTTCTGACATGGATGTTCCTTTTACTTCAATCAATATTTATTTTAGTCTTCTTGTTCTTTTTTTCCCATGGGTACATACTGGAGGGAAACCTTGATAGGTATCCAGGTAAGAGTTTTCATTTATATTCTATACAATTCCCTGCGGCCTTTCAGAATAGTTACTTGTACTTTTTATTGACTAGTCAAGATATTTCTGTATTGCTGTTTGACTTCATTTTACATTTTAGAGATGTATTTTGTAGTTTTTTACTTAGAAATGTCGCCATTTACTTGTGAAAAAGTCTGTTGGGCCTAAAAGATTTACTTGTCCTCGCTTGGTCAAATTAAATTATCTCTTAACCACTTCTTACTTTTAATTTCAACCTACCTAAAGCTGATTCTTTTTATTTTGAATGAGCCTCCGCTAGCTTTTTACGCTTCTAGAGTACAAAGACAATTATATCTTGGCACCTGGAAATCACCCACCTGCCGCATACACGACTATGGGTTTCACTTAGTCTGATTTTTTTAATTCAATTCTCAATGTTGAGTGTGCTGGGCAAGCTGCGAGACTATTCTAGTTTTAACATGAGAAGGGTGAATATAGCAACTGGCCAGGAAAATCCATCTGAGACAATCAATTATTTTCCTCAAGCAGTCTCAACCAGGGAGAAGGCTTACAGACATACAACAGTTTCACAATCCAATCAGAAGTGGCTGGATCATTCAACTGTTCTCATGTCGTTAAGCACTTAAGGTCACAGTAGGCAGGCCATCAAAGGGGATCTGTAACCAAGGAACGACCACTTGGATATCCCAGATAGCAAGCAATTGAGATGCAAGTTTGAAAATGACTTGCTAAACTATTGCAGACTTGCCAAGCTCCACAATTTTGTTGCACAATTACAGCAAGTCTGCATTGCAAGTCTCCAGACCAGCGAGCTTGCAGAGCTCTTGCTAAGACCTGCAGGACTCTTGCTGTAGACTTGCCAAGCAAATTTGCTACAAATTCAAAAAGTGTCAACTAGAACTTGTGCTGCAAGTATTCTGCAAGTCTACAACTTGCCAAGAATGTGTGCAGCAAGTTAACAAGAATTACAATTTCACCCTGCCAGAAGTTTCTAGCAAGTTATCCTTGCTATCTGGGTATGCAGCATTTAACTAGTTGGATAAAGTAATATCTATCTGCCATGTTTGTTAGTGTCTTCTGGGTTGATTAAACACTGCAGTAATTCATTTTCTTGGGGTGCCACCATTAAGGAAAATAACCTGCAGTGTTCACGCTGATAGCAGTGGTGCTAACTCTAATCTACTTTTAGCTAAGGTGTTGGAGATCTGAAGAGAATCTGACACTTTGTCCATTCAGGTAAAGGTGGCGTAATCCCTTTAAAGCCTACCTCACCACAAACCACATATGCTCACCTTTCCCATGCTCCCTTGATGCATTTTGTTCTCTGCAGTCCTAACTAGAGATGAGCCTGGACTTGGTGCGAACCCAGTTCGTCTGATTCGTCCAATCGCGCTCAAAAATGTTACCACTACCCCCTCCTCCCGACCCAATCAATGACGGCAGGGGCATTCCCTGCCCCTTTATGACATACAGCTGTGGAGTGGGGAATGTGCCTCTCTGAAACTGACTGGGTTGGGAGGAGGGGGTGGCAGTCACAGTTGTGAGTGGGCCTGGGTGAACGTAGTTCACACCAAGCCCAACCTCATCACTAGTCCTAATCTTTTGTAAGCTCATGGTGTTAGAGCTTACACAGAGCTGATGATGTTTGCCCTTCCCTTACATAATGTTGTTCAACTAATCCCAAGCATTGCATCATGGGAGGAGGTCACATGCTCCTACATACATGGGCATACTTGGGCATTTTGTTGAGGTTCAATGGAGTTCTAGGGGGAGTGGTAAAAAGATGAGTATATGTTGGTCAGGATGGGGGGTGGATTTGTAAAGAGACTGTCAATGGACAAAGTGACTTTTTGATGCTGAACTCCAGGATAAGCAAATATTGTCCAAATACAAAAGGAATGTGTATGCTTACTTGAATCTTGGTCTTCTTTGTGTTTTTCTTCCAGATCTGTTTAGTAATTCAGCACAAAACTGCTTCTGTGCAGGAGCTTCCTGTAATAAAGATCAGTCACTGCTGCTCTCTCTTCTGGTGCAGGGTGACTAGTCTTGTCTCTGCCCTTCCTGTAGTTTTTTGCAGGCAGCCTGTAGTAAGCAGGCCTGCTGGATCCCTTCCACAGCTCTGCTCTCTGCACAGACTATATGCAGCACAGTCATGATGCCACTAGACGTTTCGTTTTGATTGGGATTTTGCTTTATTTCGTTTTTTGGAATTCGGGTCTGAAAGTCAATTCGTTTCGGAATTCGTACGAAATTTTTGTTTCGTCCGTTCAAGTGACATTTAAGAGGAAAAAAAAGTTTTTTTGTTCTCAAATATCACTTTGCTGCAACGAAAGTTCGTCCAAAAAACAAAAGTTCGTCCAAAAAAACGAATCGGAAATTCGGATTCGTTTGCATTGGTTATATCTGTAATTCGGAATTCGCATACATCCGAATCTCCGAAATTTCATCCGAATTTCGATTCGGAACGAAATGAATCGCACATGTCTAGATGCCACCACTACTAATAATTGGGTTTGCAAAGGCATTCGGTGCACACAAAGTGGATCTATATCATTTGTGTCTATTGAGGAATGTAATTGAATCAACTTTTTGGTGCCTAGAGTTTAGCTCTAAATAAGAAGAACCAAAACTTTAGATTTTACCTCTGCTAGTTATTTGATGACACCATATATTTAAGAAAAGTTAAGTATATGTATGAAGCTGTATTGCTTGAGTCTTTCCTACATCAAAATGTGCCGGTATATATGCATGCCTATTTTTCAGATCTGCGGAGACTTATACAAATCATGAATCACGTTTGTCTGGATTCTTGAATCATATGATGCTCCATAGACAGATTTGCATGCAGGCAAATCACAACCTGCAGCTGTACTGATTTGATCATCACTACTCTTGGTTCAGGTGCCTAGTTTTGTAGCTGCTGTTTCACATACCTTATGAGGAGCACAACATAATACATTTTTCAGCCAAAGCAGTCAGCCCAGCACAGACATGTAATGCATATAACCAGGTGGCTATATAATGCAGGTGGCATCTCATTGCGGAGTGGCAGATGTGTGTTTGGGCAGCTCACTGACGTGACCGGTTGCCAGCAACTGGGCAGGTTCTGACAACCAGTGATGTCAGTGAGCCAGACAGAGCCTCTGGACCCAAAGGTAAGGAGCATTCACTTATACAGTGGGTATAGAAAAGAATCCCCCCACCCCCTTTAAAATAATCACATTTTGTTGCTTTGCAGCCTAAAATGAAGACGGACACGGTTTTTGTTTTATCCAGCTGTATTTACTCAGCGCAACTTATAACATCCAAGTGAAAAATATAACACCAACATGCCAGAAAAAATAAAAACAGAATTACTGAGTTGGAAAAAGGATCATCCCCTCCTAAAAATGACTTGTAAACTCAGTCAGGTGTAACTAATCACCTTCTCAATGGCACACAAAGCCATTTGACTTTCACTTGTGATCAGCTGTTGTCATTTTGTTTAGCTCAGCATGAGAAGAGCGTTCATGAAGCATTTTAATCCCTGGTAGTGCACCTGAAACAAACAATCAACTATGGGAGGCAAGTCACTGTCAAAAGACCTCCGGGATAAAGTTGTGGATAGGCACAAGTCAGGAGATGGATACAAAAAAAATTCAAAGGCTTTATCAATGCCTAGAAGCATAGTGAAATCTATTATTAAGAAGTGGAACGTAGAACATAGACCCTCCCTGGAGCAGGACCTCGCTCCAAACTGGATGAAAGAGCCAGGAGGAAACTGGTCAGAGAGGCTACCAAGAGGCCTACAGCAACTCTGAAGCAATTGCAGGATTTTATGATCGAGTGGTCTTTGTGTGCATGTGACAACAATATCACAAATTCTCCACAAATGGGGCTTGTATGGCAAGGTTGCAAGAATAAAGCCACTCCACAAGAAAGGCCACATGCAGTCACGGCTGAGCTTTGCCAAAACGCACCTTGAAGATTCTGAGGCCACATGAAAAAAGGTGTTATGGTCAGATGAGACTAAAATTGAATTGTTTGGCTTCAACACCAAACGATATGTCTGGCGGAAATCCAATACAACTCACCATCCAAATAACACCATTCCTACAGTAAAGCATGGAGGTGGAAATATCCTGTTATGGGGATGTTTCTCTGCAGCAGGGACTGAAGCACTTGTCAGGATATAAGGAATAATGGATGGGGAAAAATAATGGATGGGGCAAAATACTGTCAAGTTCTTGAGGAAAATCTGCTGCCCTCTGCCAGAAAGTTGTCAATGGGAAGAATGTTGACCTTCCAACATGACAATGACCCAAAGCACACAGCAAAAATGACTACACAGTGGTTGAAGGAGAAAAAGGTGAATGTCCTTGCATGGCTTAGTCAGAGCCCAGACTTAAACCCCATTGAAAATCTGTGGAATGACTTGAAGACTGCAGTCCACAAACGTTCAACATCAAATTTAACTGAACTTGAGCAGTTCTGCATAGAAGAGTGGGCAAATATTGCAAAGTCTAGATGTGCAAAGTTAGCAGAGACATATCCCAGCAGACTAATCCTGTAGTTAAAGCAAAAGGTGGTTGAACAAAATACTGACACAAGGGGGTGATCCTTTTTCCAACTTAGTGATTCTGTTTCTGAATTATTATTTTTTTCAGACATGTTGGTGTTTTATCTTTCACTTGGATGTTATAAGTTGCACTGAGTAAATATAGCTGGATAAAACGAAAAACTGTGTCTGCCTTCATTTCAGGCTGCAAAGCAACATAATGTGATTATTTAAAAAAGGGGGGGGGGTTCTTTTCCATACCCACTGTATAACCTATGCCCATTATAGATTAGACATGTGCCATTAGTTTTGTTACTAATTGAAATTCGTACGCATTTCTGTAAATTCCGAAAATCGGATGCATTACAATTTCCGAAGGACAGAAATAATGAATGCGAACATATCCCAATGTTTGATAACGAAATTTGGATACATCTAAAAGAAAGAAGAGGGAGATCTGTGAGTCATTGTCAGACTTCTCTGCTCTTTGTTGACATTCTGGACTCGTATCTCGAATGTCAACAAAATAACAGAATATTGTTACAAAATGTAAACAAAGAAAGAAATTGAGATCTGTGTTATTTTGTAACAACTCCTGCTTCTTTGCTGACATTCCAATCCTGAATGATAACAAAGAATTTGACAGCTGTCACAGATTACACAAAAGTGTTAAACAGTCCACAGAAATTTTAATTTTAAAAAAAGTGTGCGGTTCCCCAGCAATTCATACTAGACACTTGTTTGGTAGGCATTTTAAGGGGGACCCCCAACACTAATAAGAATGAAAAAAACAGTGGGGTTCCTCCCAAAATCCCATAGCAGACTTTTAATCCAGGCAGCAGCAGGGTAGGAAAGGGAGGGGATGAGCGAGAGCCCCCCGCTGCATCATACCAGGCCACATGTCCTTGGCATTGTGAGGGTGCACCTGAGGACATGCCGATGAGGACAAGGGCTTCTTCCCGACAACCGTGCACCGGTAGTTGTGGGGGTCTGCGAGCAGGGGGGCATCTGCATCTGGGTAACCCACTGTTTTCGCTGTTTTATTTTTTTTATTGTTCCTGTAGACTGTCAAAAATTAAAAAGAAACAAAGTAAACATTTAATGTCACTTTTCTGCAACTCATTTTTGTTCGTAATTATCATTTAACTCAAATCCAAAATTACACAAACTTCGGATTTATCTGAATCCAAATTCTGAAACGAATTGACCTTCAGACCTGAATCGCGAAAAGCAAAATAACGAAACATCCAAAACAAGATGAAAGAAAGCTAAACGATTTTTTTGACAGCTTACATGTCTATTATACAGTGGTTCTGTTGGTGTGTCCCACCCATCGTGCTGGTTGTTGAGGTGTTTATTTCCAGTGGGACCTCTGTTTTTTTTTTTGCTGGATTGCAGACAACTGATGTTTTTATTGCTTCTGTCATCTATATAGAAATAAACAGGGTTATACACAAAAGGGTGAAGAGTTTGGAGAAGGCAGGAGAAGTGAACAATCTGAACTGGAAAGTGAGCTAGAACTTGGGAATTTTTCCAGTTCAGCTATGTTGTCCTAATTTTTAGAGACTCTCTAATGACTGGCTTGGTACCAATAGATTGACGCAAGGCTAATGTGGTGCCTATATTTAAAAAGGGATCAAAGTCTTTACCAAGTAATTATAGACCTGTAAGTTTAACTTCAATTGTTGGGAAGATACTTGAAAGTTTGGTCAAGGATCACATGCAATTGTTTTTGCTTGAAAATAATATTATAAGCGATAGTCAGCACGGATTCACAAAAGTTGTCAAACAAATCTAATTTCTTTTTATGAGGAAGTGAGTAATAAATTGGACAGATGAATCGCTGTGGATATAGTGTACTTGGACTTTGCAAAAGCATTTGACGCAGTTCCTCACAGGCGGCTAATGTATAAGTTAAGTTCAGTAGGTATAGAGTATTCAATCTGTAATTGGATAGAAAGCTGTCTTAAAGACCTTATTTAGAGAGTGGTGATGAATGATTCACACTCTGAATGGTCTGAGGTTGTTAGTGGTGTCCCCAGGGGCAACCCAAGGCTGGGTGACACGCGGAGACTGGGTGACACCCTGCTGTGACATCATCGCGCATGCGCGGTCATCTTATTGAAGCCTGCCGGCAGTCATCTATGTCCTTGGACACAGGCAGAGAGAGGAGGGGACATTCACCTGGCGGGATGAGGTATGCCGCCGGGTCCTCTCCTCTCTCCTGACACCGTCAGGCTCTCGGTTCGTGACCGAGTGCCCGACTTTTCATAGGGGTGACACCAAAATGACTGTCAGTCATTTTGGTGTCACCTAGGTGTGGGCCGCACCCCCCTTGTGCCGCCTAAGAAGGGAAACGCGCTTGAGACCTAGACCTGTAGGTCTATTTCCCCAGGTGAGCACCGTTCTGTCTATTGTACTCACTGGATGAAGGTGAAAGGTTGTCAAGCTTTTTGAGATTATCGCATACTAATTTGTAGGGGAACCCCAAGCATTTTTTTTTACATCGGCAGTCCCTCCCAACATTCCTACAAGACCTAAAGGTTCTGGTATTAATTGGGGAGGGGAACCGCATACCTTTTTTTTTTGCTATTCTATTTTCTATTCCGCTATGGCTGTGCCGAGCCGAAGCATATGCATACGGCTCGGCTGTGTGCTCGAGTGTGTGCTTCGGCTACTTTCGGCTGAACTGAAAGGTTCCTGCAGCTGAAGCGAGCTGAAGGGTTAGCCGAATGTTCAGCTAAATCCTTCAGCTCTTTAGTGAATAACCCTCACAATACTTTGTGCCTTGCAAATGATCATATCATAGTATACCAGTAAGCGAAAAAAGATTTGAATCGCCATCTTTGCAAAAAGTGTCACTCCCTTCCCTACCCAAAACCCAGCATGCATTCCTTCTGAGTGCGGTGTTTTTATCATTGTCACTTATTGTCATTTATCATTGTCACTTATCATGAAACACATGAGTTTCCCAGCCCTAGTAAACTTCAGTAGCAATTGAGAAATGTTAAGTAAAAAGAGACATGGTCAGACTTTTTTATCATCTAAGCCGAGGTCTGGAAAGTAAAGATAACGCATGTTTTACATATTACATGTTCAGTTTCATAGAATTACATGGCTGCCACATGTTTTTTAGTGATACAAATGCGAGGAAGAGCGAGAGGCACTGTGATCTTTGATTGTAAATGTCAGTGGCTGTAATATGGGTTTGTGGGTCTCGACTGCTTGGTAGTGGCTGCACTTCTACCTACAGGGATCCCACGGAAGGCAGGAGGGGGTCCCAAAGAAGTCAATCAGAACAAAAAACAGAGGCACCACCAAAGAATAGTTCAGTGGAGTTTTTATTGGTGACTATAAAAGCATGAAAGTGACAGCTCATTTAAGGGGCAAACACCGACCCCCTTCATCAGGGCTTCAGGTGTAATTCAAAAGGGGAATCCCTTGGGGAATGGATAAGGCTCCTCCCAATTGCTGCATGTGCCATCATATTTGTGGTCACCATCATTGTAACTTTCCAATTCCCCAGAGTATTCCCCTTTTGAATCACACGATTAAGTGGGTCTGTGTTTGCCATCCAAAACTGTGGGCTCTTGGTGCTTTTATTGTTACCAATATAAACTCATTTGGTCTCTTTTTCGTTTGGGGGTGCATCCGTTTTTATGCTCTAATTAACCTGTGTTTTTTTTTTACTGGCCTGCGATCTACATAATACAAATCCATGGAACTCAAAAGACTATTAATATAAAATTCTTTTGTAACCTTTGTAAAACAGATCTGCCAAATATGTATTTATTTTTATAGTGTTCATTCAAAAATGTTCATGATGCACACTATGATGGGCAGACATACATGACAAAGAATTTACGTAAATCACAAGGTTTATCCATTATACATAATTTACAATGTTTCTAAAGAGAGCAGGACAGAAGTTGTTTGCCTTAAGACTCTTTGTCTTGAAGGCAGGCAGGATGGGGGATAAGAGGGAATGAGAGTTGCGCATGTGTAAATTTCAGCTTAAAGGACATTTCCACCATTGTAAGTGATTTTGAGTTTTTGGTGGCAATGGGGAGTTGCAGGGGGGATGTACATGTGTGTTCATTCTTATGAGTCATACTTTATTTTATAGATTATTTTACAGGCCAGAGGCATTGAGCTCTGGAACATGCCTAAATCAGCTAAGGAGAACCTGAAGAGCATGTATGAAGGAGCCTAAGGCTCCATCTGCCAGCTAGAAATTAAAAAACAAAATATTCATATATGCATTGTATTTCTTGTGAGGGGAATTACTCAAAACTGGAGCAGACAAAAACAAGAGCAGATGTGAATGGCAACCAATCAGCATCTTTCTTTCATTTTCAAATCTTAACTGAACAAACTGAAGAGAGATGCTCCAGTTTTTGTCTCCTCTAGTTTTTATAAATTCACCCCTATGTGTTTTGTATGTGTGTTTTGTATATTTTTACAATTCCGTGACCTGGATACTTTTGCTAGGGTATAATTGATTTAATAATAATGATATAATGAAAAATCTTGTGTACAGTGTCAGTGATGTTGTGTATTTTGTTAACGCTGTTATTCTCGAAGTAAAAGTGTTTGTTCAATTGATAGCATTTCAAGATGTGAACGTCATTGTAATTCTTGGAGTCGGCTTCCTGTTTGTATTCTTAAGGAAATATGGATTTAGCGGAGTTGCTTTTAATTTTCTGATGACAGCAGTTGGACTGCAGTGGGCCATCATTTTGGATGCTTTCCTATTTAACAAGGATGGGGTAGTTCCAACCATTGGTATGACAAGGTATGTTATTCCATATTACATAAACGTACTCATTGACTTTTAAACCTGATTCAGGTACTGTTTGAATTAATACAAATTAATTTGTATATCAATCATGTGCCGAGCTAAATAAATATATATACAATTTAGTTAAATATGTGATATAACCATAAGATATATGAGTATATGCTTTAAAAATATATACAAAAGAGCATATCAAAACATGAAAAGATGTGAAGAGAGTGATAAAAACAAAGTCCTGTGTACAACTATAATCGTGCAAACAAATGCAGGGGATAGTTCACCACTAGATAGATCCAAACTTCCAAGTAAGCAGTTGCCACAGAATCCTGACAGACTTTCACCTCCACCCAGTGAATGCAAAAATTGGAACAGTGCTCATCTGGGGAGATAGACCCACAGAACTAGGTCTCAAAGCACGTTTCCCTTCTCAATAGCAGAGGGAAGCCCGTATGACTGAAGACCAGATAACCTCCTCCGCTCGCAAATAACATCATCATTTCAAAGGGTGACAAAATATAAAGAGGACATAGTGCGTATCGTCCAAAAATACAATTTATTGAATAAAAGCAGGTACTCACAATGTCACAGGTGACAAAAGGCATAAAACAAATATCCAATGGACACCACAGTACAAATCTATGGGTGCAATGGGATTCCTGTCCGGCCGGCTCAGCTGAGAAGAGTGACGAAGTCGCGCAAAGACGTAACGCACGTAGGGCTGAGCATTTTACGTCATACAAATTAATTACTTCAGTATGTATATTGTATTTGTAGCCCTATGTTTTTTAAGCATTAAACAGAGTAGGGAATGGTTAAAACTTCTTTAAGGTTTTATTCATGCTGCACTTGACCCATTAGGGTAATTTCCCTTTACCTCCTGTCCCAACAGGAAATGAGATACAATCATTCCCAAGAGAGGGAAACCCCCTCTTAAACAATTTTCATCGTAAACCGATGTGCCCTTTGGTAGGTTTAAACTCTCTAAAATCCTTTCATTAGTGACAGTGGTCACCAGAAAAAAGATGAATCCCTACGGAGGAGACACAGACAGCAATAAATATGGACAGTGGTGCGATTAATTTCCTACTCTATCCAAAACTAAAAATTCAACAACTTCTGGCTAGAGATACACTTTAACCAATTTACATCCAATTCAGTGTAGTTATTTTTCAGAAGATCAAAGGCATGTCCTTTGATCTGTTCATTATATCAGTAAAAGCAAATCAAAAAAATTTTAATAAATCATCTTTGCTAAAACTAATGAGCCTTAATTAACTGCAACCTCTGCTTTTATTTTTTGCTGATCATTTTAAGATTTTTATTTTCTTTATGTATATGTACTTTTTTTCCATTTCCATTTTCGTTTTTTTTTTTGTTAAAATTATTTAATTTCTTACTTATTTTCAGTTTTTTAAAATCTGCAGCTTTTGTTAAATTAATACCTGGTGATCCTGCTATGAAGTTTCTTGTTCAGGCTCCGCCAATAGTAAACTAGCATTGTACCCGCCCTCTTTTACAGTTCCCCACCAGGTCCACCAGCAGAGGGCGGGAACAATGCTAGTTTACTATTGGCTATTGCAAATTGAAATAGCCAATAGTAAACTCTCAATGCTTTTGAATGGGAATTTTTTTTTTCCTCTATTCTGACATCGCTCGTGCCAGAATGAAGAAAAAAAGACAAAGCGGGGTTTCTCTCCTTGGCGGCCGGGAGCGGGGGGCTCCCGGGGCCCCAGGGAGAGTTTTTAAATTTTTTTAACTTTTTTTTTTTTTACAGCAGCAGAGCCGCCGGACAATAGGAAACTATTGGGCGGAGCTAGCTGTCACTGCTAGCTCTGCACAATCGTTTTCTATTTACTTTTTTCTACTTTTTTCACTCTTTTTCTGTTCTGCTCGGTGCCTCTGAGGGACCGAGCAGAACAGCCGAGCCAAATGCCGCTCGGCGGCATTCGGCTATTCTCTCACTGCTGTTCGGGATCTTTCAGAATAGCCCGAACAGCAGTGTGAAGCCTGCCGGAGGTTCGGCTCAGCCGATCCAGATGTTGGATCGGCTGAGTCGTACTCCTTCTGCACTTCGGATCAGCCGAACCTGCTGAGCATGTTCGGCTGTTTCGAAGCCACACGAAGCAAGCCGATGTACGGCTGATTTCAGCCGATGTACGGCTGAAATCAGCCGTACCAGCCTGAAGTGAATAGCCGAACAGTGTTCGGCTCACTTCACTTCTGATCGGTCATTCACTCGGCTGCCCTCGGCAGCTTTGTGAATAGACCCCTATATGTAGTTGTGCCTATGTTCATTACACAGGCATGTTCCATGATTGCCACCATTGTGAAGCCCGTCCTGGGTGTCCTAAAAAATCCTGAAAGCAATATTTTCTGTAGGAAAAACTACAGTTGATTATGATACATAGTGCTTTAGCAAACTAAATACCATCAATTTAGGGTTTACATCCACTTTAAATACAAAATACACAAAATTGCCTGTATTAAATTTGTGAATAAATTTGCCATGCTTTGTCTCACACACAATTGGTTACCCAAAGCAGTCCATCATAGTGATAGTCCAACAGGAATGTGTTTGGGGTGATGATTAGCAGCCAGGTACCGGCAAGTGTTGGAGTTTTGCTTTCCAGAACAATTCAGCATTTGTGCATAGGGCAATGAAAACTACTGCTGGTACCTCTGAGTGCACCTGTTTAGCAGCCTTCTTTTTTTTTTTAAAGTGGTGAGGTCTTCAAAGATTTAAACAGATCTCTGAGTAGATACTAAAAAGAGTTTAACAAAAGTATTTATATTTGCCATGTATGCAGTTTGTTTTTACTGACATTGGTGTCTTTTTGCAGCTTAACAACAGGACTAATGAGCATTTTTCCAGTCTTGATCTCATCTGGGGTCATCCTAGGAAAAGTGAATCCTTTGCAGCTGATTATTATGACCATCATTGAATTACCCATATTTGTAGCAAACAGATACATTATGACAAAATATCTTATGGTAAGTAACAAAAGATGTGCACAGAATTACAAACACTAACCTTTTCCCGCAGACATTTTGTCAAACCTATACAGTACATTCACTACATTCACCATTTCACTGCTATAGCACCCAGGAATATGTTTACAAGCCAGCACAACTCAGAACAAATACTGTATGTAGATATTAGGGATGCACCGATAAAGTTTATTTGGCAGCTAGTACTGATATTTTTCTTTCGGTACTGGCTGATACCAAATACTGATAACAGAAGTCCCTGCTATGGACCCGCCGATCGCCTATATGTGAAACACCCGGTAACGGGTGTGTGCATTTAGCGGGTCTTTTCTGCCCGTGCGTGCCCGCTAGGGGGCGCGCGCGAGCAGAAAAAAATTGCCGTCTGGAGACGGCAACCCGCAGATGCTGCAGTGCCGTCCGTCCGTTTTTTTACTACGGGCGGACGGCAAGAGGTTAAGGATGCATGTAATGACTTGCCACCTGGCTTCCTGATACCGGAAGTTCTGGTATCGGGATAAGTATCGGGAGCATTTGGGCGAGTACGAATACTCGCCAAATACTCGGTATCGGCACTGATACTAGTATCAGTGCATCCATAGTAGATATAGACTTCAGACTTTTACTTTAGATATGTGCGATTCGTTTCGGAAAAATTTGTTTTTTGGACGAAATTTCGTTATTTGGAGATTCGGATGTATCCGAATTACAGAAATGAAGAATGGAAAGGAATCCGAATTTCCGAAAACGAAATTTCGGACAAGATTTGTTAGCGGTTGTCTGCACAAAATTTCGTTTGTGGACGGATTTTCGTTGCAGCAAAGTGACATTAAAATGTTTTATTTTTTTAATGTCACTTTGCTGCAACGAAACCAACAAAATTAAAACGTAAATTCGTAGAGACTATCGCTAACGAATTTCGTCTGAAACCGAATCCCGAAAATGAATTGACTTGAGGACCCGAATCCCGAAAAACGGAATAACGAAAAAATCTGAATCAACACAAAACTAAACTAAACAAATTTTTTGCCGGTGCACATGTCTAGTTTTCTTTGACCTTGTAGATTTGCAAGCTTGCATACAGAAAGCCAGTGTCAGCATAACAGCCAGTCAGAAGGAGGTCAGCAATGACATCTCACATATTTCTCTTAGGAAAGGTTAACTTTAAATAGCCTCTGTCCTCAGATCATTTATTTTAACAAAAATCTTCTATAAGAATATATGTGCATTTAATATATTTTAGGCATGTTATTTACCAATAAAAGTTGTGTGTAGACATCCAAAAGCCTAGAGTTTGCTGCTGGGTGCCACCATGTTGGATGTATTGTCAGTAGCACTTTACTCCACAATATAGATGCCAGCAATATGATCTGCACCCCAGCACACACCTCACCAGAATCTATACCACCAGCATATGCTCTTCATCAGAATCCATACCACCAGTAAAAACATATTTGCAGCCCACAAAGCTCACCCCTTGGTATCCAAGGCAAGAGTTATATGTGCACTCCAACAACCAAAGCTCACCACCCGGTATCCACAACAGTAAAGTCAGAAATCCAACACATACTACCTCACTCCCTGGTATCCACACAAATTATACCAGCACTCACAGCTCACCACTCTATTGCAGACAGTATCTTGCATCTAGTATACACAGTGCCTTACACTATGCAATGGCTCAAGTTTCTTGATTATGTGCAATGATTAATGCCTTTTGCACAAATTGTCTCATGTTTGTTTATTGAATGTAAAGCCTGAAGCCTCTGTAATATGCACAGTGGCTCATGTTTCTTTAAGACATGTAGTGCCTTATACCTCTCTACTACAAAGAGTACCTCACGCCTCTCTAATAAACTCATGCATCATGCCTGGAATGTTGGGAAACCTACAGTTTGCACATTCCCCATTGTGTAGTGCACGGGTAGCCAAACTTTGGCCCTCCAGCTGTGGTTGAACTGAAAATCCCATGCGGCATTGCAAGACTCTGACAGCCACAGGCATGACTCACAGAGGCAGATGCATGATGTGATTTGTACTTTCCCTACAGATGGAGGGACAAAGTTTAGCTACCCCTGGTGTAGAAGATGTGAATATTAGGTGGATTAAATTGCAGAAGACTCTGATCATTCCAAAATAAATAAATCACATCTCCCTGTGACTGGCTAACTTTGTTTGTGAATACTAACTTATTTAAAGCTTTCTTCTGTTAAATTACAGATGAACGATCATATAAGCATGATGTATGCGCATATTTTTGGGGCATATTTTGGAATGGCAGTGTCATGGCCATTGGTTCCACCATTACCTGGTAATGAGGCTAGTAAGCAATATGAAATACCTGAAACTCTCTCAGAACTATTTTCCATGCTTGGTAAGTGACCCAATACTTATAGATACGCAAAAGTTATGCATGCATAATCCAAAGCCACACAAACTAGAGAGCACCACAGATCTATAGTTACAGTGGTACCTCGGTTCACGAATGCTTCTGTTCGCGAACAGTTCGGTTTGATTACAGGAAGTTCGTCAAAATGTTCCCTCCGTTCACGAACTCTGCATCGGTGACGAACACGACCGTGGCCATCTTCGGCACTCTGACGCGTGGTCGTGGCTTCCTGTATTCGAGATCGCGTTCATAGACAGGGCTGTGGACACTTACTGTGAAGCTTTTTTGTGTGCTTTGTAGCACAGTACTGTACATTACTGTATTCAATCCAGCATGGCTCCCAAGAAAGTGCAGAGCAAGCATGGTGGGGAAAAGAAAGCTCAGAGCATTAATGAGGGTGACGAGGATGTGCAAAGCGTTAATGAAGGTGACAAGAATGTGCAGAGCCTTATTGAAGGTGACAAGAATGTGCAGAGCGTTATTGAAGGTGACAAGAATGTGCGGAGCGTTAATGAAGGTGACAATAATGTGCAGAGCGTTATTGAAGGTGACAAGAATGTGCAGAGCGTTAATGAAGGTGACAAGAATGTGCAGAGCGTTAATGAAGGTGACAAGAATGTGCAGAGCGTTAATGAAGGTGACAAGAATGTGCAGAG